GGTCCATCTTCATCGACCAGAGAGAGTTGACCATCATCAACGGTTTCGATGATGGATCGTCGAATGGACTCTGCCTTCACCAAATCAGCCACCTTCGGATATTTCAGGATGCTCAACTGCTTTTCCTGCACATAATCTCTGTAAGGTCCGAAGGAGATGGTTGACAGATCCATCATCAGGTAGCTCTGGTCACGGAAAAACCTTTTCTCTTCCGCAAAGTTGATCTTTCTGTTGGTAACCTCAACGAACTCCTTCAACGTGTTGCGGATCTCATCATCCTGGTCAGCACTGTTCTTCATCATGGACGTAGCCCTATTGCGTCCCATAGGACGAGCCTGTACCTCGGCATTGCCCTAGACCAAAACACTCATGGCAACCCTCTTCGCCTTCGCCTTGACCTTGAATTCGGTTGCTTCGGCATAACTCTTCCACTTTTCAGTCATTTTTAAGACCTTCCAGCAATGCAAGAAGGTAAGCCCCTTCTTAACCTTCGTCTCGGACGTCCTATACATCTCAGTTGCTCTAATAACCTTTTGTTTGAAAAATATCATGTCAGTCTTAACATATGTCAAATAATTTTCAGTGGTATTACATATATACCGCGCCAGACGGATCAGATCCACTAGGGGCAGGGCTTCTGATACAAGTATCAAGAAACCCACAAACCTTGTTGACATCAGATGCAATCGTTGTGAATCTGTTCTGGTGAGAGCTTTCTGCTCTCTCAGTAACAGGAATTTTGTAGACTTTGACGAATTTAATCTCAAAGTCTTCTTCGACTGCCTTCTAAAAGTCAGGGCTCTTCTGGTCGTTGCCCTTACTTGGGTTGGTTGAGAGCTTCAACCCAAGATTTTCAAAACTGGGTGTCTTCTTCGAAGGTCCAGTTATTGTCACGGGCACGCTTATTACCCTTGGGCTGTTCCTTTTGCTTTTGATTTTTATTTTGTTGTTGTTGTTGATTCGACATTGTTATTTTAAAAATTTATCGGGAAAGGAGCAAAAAAAATTAAAAAAAAAGTCAGGTTTATTTATTTATTAGAAAAAAAATTGATCGTTTACCAATTTAGCTTTTTTTTTTTAACAAACGGCTGGAGTTTCTTTTTTTTTAAAAAAAAATGGCAAATTCAATAAATTTAGCAAACCGCTGGGGATGTTCTAAGCATTTATTTGTAAAAGGGTAACACAATAACGGTTTCAGTTCCGAGAAAAAAAAAGATGTACATGAGGACGATTGAAATATGTTAATTTCGAAATATTTCTTTGTAAACTGTGCTAAATCACACATATAGATTATACATATAATAAATTCATATCTCATCATCACTGATAAATGATAGCTAAATCATGATCAGACATAAAAAAGGAATTCGCTAAAGCCGGTCACTATTTTAAAGTGTCACGGTACCGTAACACCAATGTCCAAACTTAAGACATGTTATTGTTATTATTTCTCTATTGACTATGCGAAGCACTAATTGTTCAATATAGATACTGTTATTGATAGCATACTCATATTGTTAAGAGTAGTATCCTCAGCCTCGTCCATTTCATTTATTATAAATACTCTTTATTTTTCCTCTTCTTAAATCTTTAGTTAACTTTAACATCAATAAACTCTGACAAGAATTCTAATTGATCCTATTGTTTTTTTATACCTTTTTTTCTGCAAAACAATCCTCTTTAAGCCTACTTTTGCTACAATGGGGTTAGCTATTTTTTGTGCGTGAAGTTATACCAGAGCTTTGTGATCAGTGAATATCGTGAAGCGTCAGCCCCATAAACATTTACGAAATTTCTGGAGTGCCAACACTACCGCATATAACTCTCGTTTGGTGGTAGACGAACGAAGCATTGACGGCTGTAATGAGGATGAAATGAAGCTCACATACTGCTCCCGACCTATGTTATCCTCGTTTTGATAGAGTACGGCTGAAATTCCAAATTGGGATGCATCAGTGGCAACAAAAAAATCCTTCCCCATATCTGGAGAATGAAAGATAAGATTCGACTGCAATATCTTTTTCAGTGCTTCGAAACTACGAGTTTGAACATCCGTTCACAAACCTGGGACATTGGTCGCATGACTCAAACGAGATATTGGTTCTGCAACTCGACTGATCATAGGGATGTATTCACAAAAATAATTGATCAATCCCATAAATGACTGAATTTGTTTACTGCTCTGAGGTATGGGCCATTTATCGACACTACCCGTCAGCTTTTGACGATCTACTTTGGTGCCGGATTGCATTAGCAACAAAGCCCAAAAGTCGAACTGAATGCTGACACCATGATTACATCTTTTGATCCAAGATTAAATTCACAGACGTCAATCTATCAATCACCATTTGGACATCCTTGGCATACTGCTCAAAGTTATCACTAGCAATAATGCAGTCATCCACAAAAATTTGGACACAATCCAATCCGTCAAATAGTGTGGCTAAGCACTTCTGGAACTGGGATGTAAGCATTTTCACTCCAAAATGACCTTTAATGAAAGAGTATTGTGCATTGTTATGTGTGAATGTCAATTTATGAACATCTTCTGGGGCAACCTTAAATCTGTAATAAGCATTAGACAGATTCAGTGTAGTGAATACTTTCTTTTGCGCCAAATTGTCAAATATCCCCCTCACCAAGGGGATAAGAAAATTTAAAGATGTAGGCAACAGGTTGTTTAAACCTCTCAAATCTAGTACTACTCTATGCGAGACAATGGTACCCATATTATTTCTTTTTGGTACCAATAATAAAGCATGGTTAAAAGATGTGTTGATTTTTGACTTAATAATTGTGCCCGTTGATAACCATTCCTCAACTTGTTTATCCAATACTGGTTTCAGCGCATGGGGAACGGTATATTTCCTTCTATACGAAGTTGCACCTTCCTTTGTAGGAAGCGTAATGATTGATTCAGGCATAGGGCATGATGACTCTGGAGGGATGTCTTGATTTCGTTTCAACGACAAGTTGATCAATTCAAAAAACGCTTTTCTCTGCTCAGGCGTGTCGGCAGGAGATTTATCAGGCTCATGCTTATTCGTGAGGTCTACATTGATATTCTCGAACACTGCCTCCTTATCTTTAAGTCGAACGGTTTCATCAGCTTTATAAGCTACTCCTGTCAGACCTATGTTTATTTTCGGTAAGATATCACTTCCAAGTAAGATATCAAACTCAAATCCGTCATTAAACTTTAGTACTTCCAAAGCATGATCAAACTCGATCCCATTTGCGTATTTAAATCGCAAAGGTTTGGTTCTCTCAATTCGCGAAACGTTGTAATTGTGAGACAAAAAATTACATGAACCTTGGACTTTGTGTATTTTATTTCTTTTTAAAATATGAACTAAAACTTTATAATCAATGAAACTCGTCGTGCTACCGGTATCAACACTAATTATCAAATGATGGTTCTCTATTATAACCGTAGTTAAAAGATTAAATGGATTGGATTTTGTTTTGTTCATATCAAATATATCAGGTTGGAGGTACTTACAACCACCGTAACTCAATCCCTCCATGAGGTTGCTGACCTCTGTGGTGGCTACTCCCATATCCTTGCCTTGGTCCGCTTCTTTTCCCTTCGAGGGGGCCCACAGCAAAAACGTTATGGCTCTCCTGGCAGGTATGACCAGGCATCCAGGGCTTGCTGCATTTATAGCATGATTTGTCTTTCTTCTCAGTGATTACGCGCTTCTTGATACTGAAACAATCCTTGGTTTCGTGGGTGGAATTCTTTCCATGATGAGTACAGAAATGAGCCTTGGTAATACGTGTTATTTGTTTGTTTTTAAATGAACCTCTTTTCTTGTAATTTCCTTGATAATCGGATTGCTCTTTTCTTTCAAATTTAGTACCCGGGATGATGGCAGCAGCTTGAGCATATAGTGAATTATCGTCACCCAAGACGTCTCTTCCAATCTGGGTAATGTGTTCAACTGTCCACTTTTCGATACGAGAGGAACTGGAACCAACACGAGCCAAAGTTACTTTTATCAAAGTTTGAACCGGAAGGACAAGAGAGGACAAAAAACGATCAGCTATTCTTGGGTCGTCTTGAGGTAAACCAGCATTATATACAGCTTGAAGTAATCGCTTAGAATAGTCAGACATGGATTCAGTGGTTTTCATCTTCATAGTGAAAACTAAATCAGTGAAATGGCTGGTTGCTTGATTCGATCCATGATGCTCTCGAAATGCCTTCTTGGCCTCCGCCCATGTTACGCACCTTTTCAGCTCTGTCGCAGCCCAAGCATTGTCACTATGTGGCAGACACAATGGAAGAAACTTTCTCCACACGAGCTCAATGTCTCTCCAAGAGGACCCGACAATTATGTTCTCGAAACAGGAAATAAAATGATCAACCGACTCATACACTTCAAAGTAAGGGAATGATCGCAACACGCTGGATGCGAGTTGGAACTTAGGAAGGTCTCTGTGGGAGAGTGATAGGCCACCAAGCGCCTTATCTTCCTCACAATAGCTCTTCTCTTCACCAGATATTTCAGCTAAAAATGTGTTGTAGCCCGTCATTGCTGATAGCAGCCACTTGGTTCTTGTTGTGTTTTAAGGTAAACTAAAATTTTAAAAAGACTATAGGAGTAGTTTGAGACTGTTTATAAGATTGTCCTTCATTAATAAGTGAAATGTACGAGTATTTATATAAAAGACTGTCTGCCGTGTTCATATCTCTAGTGCTATCTTGAAGTTATCATTGATTAATCAAAAATGTATACCATTATTAAATAGTAACTAATTTAGTCTTGTTCTAATAAATGTTAAGTCTTCTTAACTCTCTTTGCTTTACACTAAATTTGAAGTATTTCTCATACGTACTAAATTAGACTTGTGATGTAATATTCTTATAGTTCTTACTATGACATTTACTGTTTAAATTTTTTACAACAAACAAAAAATCTGTCATAGTGGTTGTTGAACTTGTAAGTTGGTATACTTATACCTAGCATATCATTGTATGAATTACTTCTTGTTAGTTCGAAAAAAGCAAATCAAATTTGAACATGGATTCCAAAATACAGCTGAATATCAACGGGAAATGTGGTTGCAGTATAAGCATATTTCTTAGTGATATTATTGAAGTAAGCCTTATTACAGGGATAGAAAGTATGGCAACAGATTTATTGTCTTTTTTGACCAACAAGAGACTATTTGGAAACTATATACCGAATTACATTTTTGTGTTTGGAGATCCGTTCAAACTGGCGCAAAGTTCAAAGATCCACATCGCATACACCATGCTTATGCAAAAAGCGATTGATGACGGCGTATATATTAAAGAAAAAGATACAAAAATATTTGTGCTACGAGAATCTATTTTCCAGTTACTGTGGACGTTTTTATCTGGAAAAAAGCCTTACATGTTTGATAGGTTTGTCACTGGAACTTTGTGCCAAGTATCAAGCAATACATACGGGATGCGGATCTCATCATATTATTCAGAAGGTGTCATCCTTTTCACCCGAATAAACAGTGATGGTGATGTCAAAACTACAATTGCAGATGATGGTAGTAACTTGGTATTTGTTCAGAAAGGGAAACCAGTTCCAACAAAAGGGCTAATAATTTAAATCAATGAACGAGAACGTAAGTTTGTTGCCATTGTTGTTCTTCTTCGTTTGTACTAATGGGACCCACTTCTACTTACACATAGATATCGAATTACAAATTATTCAATTAGAAACTTCATCCAGTACTGTTCCGGACAAGTATACTCTATTGTGTGGCGACACTGCTGGTGCTACTTATGAAATACGCTCCCGTGATTTGTCGCGTTATAATATCAGAACATTAGCGGTAGAATATGAGCAGATTAGCAATAATTTATCTATCAAATTATCAAAAGGATGTACGGGCAAAATTGATGACTATATTGAAGAACCTTATTACAAAACCCTAAATATCATGGAGACATTGACACTCGCTTATATTTAACAAATCACTGCTTCTATCAAATCAAACTATTTTTAAACCATGATTTATTTGGACTTGTTATTTGGGTTTTCAAACAGCGTTTATTTTATAAAATTTAAAGAACCAACTAGGAACATAAAAGAATTATTATATGGACCTAATTGAACATGTATATGAGGGGTCTTACCTTTTGTTGGTTAATTAAAAATAAGGATTAAAACACCAAGCAGAACGCTTTGCAATGATAGAAATAAAGAAAGTAAAAGGAAAAAAAAGAATGAGGGATAAGCTAATCCACACTGTCCAATGAAGTTTTTTAATAAATTGCCCAATTGGGTTCTGGTATAGTGACTTGATTACAGATATTGCGTTATGTCCTCGAGAAATTGCAGTAGCATTTAACTTCATGACTTTGATTCTAGTGGACTGTACTATATGAATTAACTGCAAGCTGTTTGAACTTGTTATCAAGAATTAAAATTTCTCGCGAATGAAAATGATATATGTATACATGGTAATAATTTATTGCTTGTGGGATATTTAATATAAGAGATGGTAATAGTTATTGATAATTGTTCAGTTAGTTTCATCGATTGTTTTTGTCTTTTTTCTAATAATTTCAATGGCATCTGCTTCGCAACCATATTTTCTTTTAATAGCTAAAGGTAAATCGGCACCAAAAAAGAATAGATCCTCTGATTTTCGGACTCGAGACATGGCAACATACATTTGACCATGAGTAAGCATATTGTCAAGATGTATACCAACGCAATCAATTGTAGCACTCTGCGATTTGTGGATTGTAGAGGCAAAAGCGGGTACTATTGGAAACTGCGATCTGGTATAACTTGTACCTGGTACATTTCTAAGGATACGCTGAATCCAATATATTTTCTCTTCAGCTTGCCCATTAACATTGGTTGTAGATTTTCGGAGACAGATATTTTCATCTTCAATGTACTCAATCTGAGCAATAGTCCCATTCACCCAGCCTTCAGCAGTATTTAAGTTTTGGATAAGCATGATCGGCATATTAACTTTGATATACAGGCATTGCAAAAGTCTTGTTTCCTTTAAAGCACGAGCTGCTGTACCTTTTGTTCCAGAGTAGGTGTCATGAGCTTCAATAGCATAACCGTCACCTGGAAAATTTTCAAAGTCTTTTTCATTGGCTAATCGCACTCGTTTTCTAGTAGTATACAGTCGTAAGCAGGAATCTGGTAAATCGGACTTTTGTACAGTTCTTTCGTTCAGGAATTCGATTACTGACTGATCAAAATTATAAAGTCGAACTTTATCCAAGATATCAATAAATCGTCTTTCTTTCTGTCGGATTGGTTCTGTCAGGTTGTATCGATTGACTGAATTATATATTTGACAATCCCACATTGCACCTTCATTTTTTTGTACGGGTAAAAGTTGTGCGATATCACCGAAAAAGATTGTTTTGACACCTCCCATTATGGATGATCTCTGCGTTGATTTAATTAATGCTTCATTTATCGATTCCAGTAGTTTCGAGCTGATCATTGAGTATTCATCGATTAACAAAATAAGTTTGGGATACAACTTTACACATTCATCCAGAGTCTGATAATTTGGAACCAAGGAGCGATTTGCCATACCAAAAAAACGATGTAATGTTTGACCCCCAATGTTATGAGCTGCCACTCCGGTAGGAGCAAGTTTAAAAACCTGTGAAAATATGTCAGTATGTTATTTCATTTTGTTAACTGTGTTCATTTACCTTGTATCCTTTGATTCTATAGTACCGTTCTAACATGCGGAGAATATATGATTTGCCAGTTCCTGCAGCACCTGAAACAAATGAGGCAGAATTGGTTTTCATCTCTCTTATCAGTTGACGATAAATGCACTTCTGATCTTCCTGAGCAGTCGACATCATAACCTTGAGTTCGTCCTTGCAGACTGTCATTCCCCTTTCAATATCAACAACATCATTTAAAGTTTGGATGTTAACTTCTCTATGTACAGGAATACCACCCTCGCTAAGATTTATTAAATGCTCATAATAATCTAAAATCAATAATGTTAGGCACTTGTATACAATAAAGCTGAATATTTAAAAATACCTTTCCAAGTAACAAATCCCGACTTTTCTTTTTCAAATGTTGAATTAAAGATAGCTTTCTTGAGAATAATTTGTTGGTAGTAAAAGTTCTCACCATTCATTTCACTTTGATTAAATGTTCTCCAAAACAAAGGTTTGCCGGGTTTTATAGTGTATTCATCCGATCCACAAGATACATATTTGGGAAGAGGGCCTGCATAATAACCAGTGCTTATATCCACATTATTTGCTAATCTATTTGCTGTAGCTGCCTCAATAATTTTTTCGTTGCCTGATATTCTGGTGTAGTAGGAAAAAAATTCGGGAAGAGTAAGGCCTTCTGCACCTGATCTCTTTTCATAAATTTCTAAAAGTGGGTTATTATAATCAGTAAGCAACACAGTACAGGATGTATTAATTGTACTTACCAACTGGCGTGGTCATGTATATATCGGTAGAGTCAGCAGGTAAATCTTTGATATTATTTTTAATTCTTCGAGTGTCTTGTGTTACCAGATTTGTGTTGATAAAAATAACACCTCTGGAATTGCTGTGCTTATGCCAACCCATAACATCATACGTTGCTTCGACCGATCCAACAATTCTGGTAGAGTAGTGTTCGTTTTCTGACACATAAGATGATTTTTTATAGAAGCCCGACTCTTTTTGCTGTACATTCTTTAATAAAATTTTTGCTTCATAGTCGTCCTTTGCCAAATATTTAGCCAAGTATCTT